ACTGCATCACTCGAATCAGCCCTCTTCTCTCCATCGGTTAGGGGGGGGGGGCTTCCTACAAACCACTGCAAACACCCACAAACCTGCTGACCGGAGGCATAGAAACCTCCAAGGGAAGAGGGCGGCCACTCCTTTTCAGCCCCTTCCCCTATCTTCAACCGATGCTAAAGAAAAAATAAAAAAACCCTCGGCCAAATCCGAGAAAACCAGAATTCTAGGCAGATTCAATTTTTTCACTGTGGCTCTGATATCATATTATAAACCTAATCTGCACTAGAATTCTGTTAGAATTAGGGTTGAAGAAATATTAGAGAGACTAGAAGAAGTAGTAGAAGAGAGGAGAATAGAGAAGAAGAAAATTCTGGTTTGAACTAGAGAACTCAGATTTCTCTCTAGTCGGCCAGATTGAATTTATATGTTTCTATCCATAATAACAAAAGACTACTTTGTCCCCACTTAAGTATGGGACACATCATCTAACAGAAATATTACACATCAGCAACTTTAAACATAAATATAAAGACTAAATACCCCTACACAGTTGACATTAACAGGTGCAAATATTGATAGATGCACATGGTGGCTCCCATGGCTTTGTTGGCTTCCCCATGGTCAAGTACTTATGATTGGTTGATTTTCCATAATGACACCACTTATGGGAACGTGTTCCCCATAACTGTCTGCCCTATGGTCGTGAGCAAAAAGGGCTCTTGGTTGGTGCATGTCAGCCTTGGCAATATGATAATGGCTTTCATTTGAGGGGAAATATGGAACCCAATGTGGAAGAGACTCACATGTTAGGGGGATATTGTTGGGATGCACGTGCGAGTGTATAGAATGTAGAGTCCCATATTGGAAAGAAATGAGGTGTAAGGAACTTATTTTCATTGATAATTCTTTGGCTGAGGTGAGCAGCTTTGGGACAAACAAGGGTATATTTGTTGAAGAGGCATCTATAATGAGGTTCATTTACTTTCAGGAAGGGCTAATCAAAATGCTTTATGTTCAGAAAAGCTTAATAAGAATGCTGTAGTAGGTGATGCTATTCAGCAAAAGAGTTTCAGAACCGGACCATCTTTTGAAGATTTACTGAAGAACATTAGTGAATGGTGATTACTAGGCATGAAAGGGTGAGATAGAACTGCAGCAAGAAGATGAGTTCATCCTTTTAGATGGGAGTGGTTCATTCGGATAAAAATGATAAATATTGCTAGTGGTTAAAAGAGAACTAAGCAAGAGTTTGGATGTGAGGAACATGCAAGAAAAATTTTTAAGAAATTAGAAGAGGGTTAAAAATGCTGTATCTGCAAATGTATTAGGCAGGTTTATCAGAGCAAGGTTTCATTAGAAAGGGAAGGGAGATCTATTTTAGGAGGTGTTTTGAGATGAGGATGTACTGAAATATATTGATTTTACTAGGAGTTTATTGTGTGAAAATGCTTATAGAGCATCTTCTTTGAATGCGGAGAATGTTGTAGATGTGGTTTTAAGAGTCATTGGGATGTATCTGCTTTTGTTGTAATGTAAGAAGGGGGACTGTCTATTATGACTATATTTTAGGGTTGGTGTTTTGAGATAAGGAGGTGCTGAATTTTATTAATTTTACTAGGAGTTTACTGTGTGAAAATGCTTATAGAGCATCCTCTTTGAAGGCAGGGAATGTTGTAGATGTGTTTTTAGGGGGATTGTCTATATGACTATATTTTAGGGTTGGTTCTCTCCTATTGGGGACTTTGCAGGTTATATTTGTTGGATATTGGTTCTTAGCATGTTCTTATTAGGTCTGGTATGATGTTCTTTTTTTCTTTCTTCCATGATTTCTGATCACCACCTATTATGTTCTTTTTTTATTGTAATGAAAAATTTTCTTCACCATAAAAAAAAAAAAACAGTTAGCTTTATTGGCATCTTTTGAACTCCTCTTTTAGTTTAAGTGAACTGCTAATTTTTAGTCTGGCTGCTTATAAAATAAAATCACGTCTTAGATCTATTTACCTTTTTCTTTTATTTCTTTGTCATATTCCCATTTCCTTTTTTTTCTTCCCCTATTATGTTTTGTTTTCTTCAAAGGTCCCTCATGCAGTATTTCTTCTTTTTTGCTTTTATGGGCGGGTAGGAGTTGAAAAACTAGTCTGGCTTAGCCAGATCAGGGGTTACAAGGGACGATGAGGATTTTTTTCCCTAATTTGGGGTGAATAGAAAAATTCTTCTCTTTGTACCCTTCTGTTTACTTGTCTGGGTTGTATGGATTCTTCTTTTCATCTTTTAATAAAATTCACTTTATTGTTTCTGATAGAGAAAAAAAGAACTGATTTGACCTTTTCTCCTTTAATAAATTGAGAACAATGTTGATATAATCTAAGGTTATTTCTAGTAACAAAATTTGCTCTTGGTAACATAAACATAGTTATTACTTTTTAGAAAATTTAACTTCTAATGCTTCCAGAAGTAAAACTGTAACTCCAGTTTTGCCGAGTGAGCATAGCCTCTTATGGTGAATGATACAATCTTAATGAACTTTTGAAATAATTTTCAACCTTGTAGCTCCTTTAGTATTTAATGAAGTTCATTATGAATGAAATTTTGTTTCTTAACATGGTTTTGATGCTGTTCTAATGTTCTAAACCAGGTGGACTGACAGAAAATGACTTCATACTTGCTTCCAAGATCAGTGCTCTTAACCTGCAACATCTGCTAAGAAAGAAGGCTACTGCCTAGCCATCAATGTGGGCATTGCTGGTCCATGATTCTATTATGTAAAAAAGCACTTTCATATGGGAAAACGGATCTTTTCTTTGATAGTCTATCTTGTAATGGTCTTAGTTTACTTCCACTGGAACTTCTGATCCTATTCTACCCTGTGGGAAGTTGCATTTTTACTCGGGTGATTCATGAATCCTATGGAGTCAAGGATCCTAGGCATTGCCTTGCAAATTTCATGCTTATATGTTTGGGTAATTATAAGGCCTATAATCTAGCATCTCTAGGCAGTTTTTTATATTTTTTTTGAGGTGTTTAGCCTGATACATGCAAAAGTAGAAGATGGTTACTTAAAGCTCAACTTTGATGGTCAATGCTGATGAAGCCAAGAGTTGCAAATTATCTTCTTTCATTGCCTTTAGCTCCTAACAAGTACTTGGTCCTGATTTGGGGGAAGGGGGTTCCAAATGTATGCAGGTTCAAGAACTTTGAGTGTCGAGCACGGATCAAAATTTTGCAATGTATACGAGCTGATGCATATTGTATTGGCAGGTTACCCATAAATCGTTTTTAAGTTTTTTTTAAACCTTTGTTTTAAATATTAAATAACATTATTTCCAACTTCCTCAAATTTTGAAAAAAGAAAACTAGAAGAAATAAGGTTCAGAGTACCAATACACCCCTTCCAGCGTATCATTGTGTATCTATACTTTGAACCATGGTCTTGAAGCCATATCAAGAAACTTCATTGTTCTTTTGTTATATCATTTAGGGAATCATTGTCAACTACTAAGCCAAATAATTTACTTAAAATCATCTATCATTTGAAATTTAAAAGATGACTAAATCCAAAGAGATTTAAAATTGTGGAGGGTACATGAAAGTTTGGAATTGATTAAGGATTTTGTGAAAAGTAAAAGAGAAAGTCACTCAATTAACTACTTGGTTGCTGATGGCATGAAACCCTAGGCAGCGTCCTCATCCATGGCAGATCCCAAGGATGATCCTCCTCTTTCTATGAAACCTTCCTTTGCTTCTATTCTGTCTCGTGTTTCTCCTTTGTCTAAACTAGTGTTAGATGTTCCAGTTGTCGATGCAGGCTTGAAACAAGGTGAACCTGTTATTTTTTTCAAAAGATATCTTTGAGAAATCCTATGATATACTTCGTTGGGCTCTGATTGGCAAATGTATGCATGGTTGACCCCCTCTATCAGAGATTAAAGACTTCATCTGCAATACTTTTACTTAAAAAAATGAGGCATGGGTGATTGGTCTTTGATTCGAAAAGTATTTTGATTAGATTTGATGAGGATGACTTTCTTAAAGTTGGTTCAGAGAAGTTTTCAAGATTAAAACCTTTTTATTCAGATTATACAAAACTACTACTCCTAGGGTTTGTGTGGAGTTAGACTTGCTCAAACATCATCCGAGCAGAGTCTAGATTGGTTCAGGTCGTGATGGTTTCTGGCAAGAAATTGTTTATGAGAATCTCCCTGAATATTGTGAAAACTGCCACAAAGTTGGTAACTCGACAATAGTTTGTAGAACTTTCCACTTCCCCCTCTAATCAGGTTATGTTTCAAACCCCTGGGGTGGTGGAGGAACATCGAGATTCTGATCATGTCCTAGAAGTTTTGGACTTAGAAATTGAGGAAACTGTAGTCCTGCATAGGCCTGTCAATGATACCCAAAAATCCGAGGCCTGACCTGATTATCTCGGATTTAGATGTTACAATCTACATCTGATTAATAATCGGATCGGATTCGGATTTCACCCCATCAGGTCCAATTAAAATCTGAATTCAATTATATTATAATATTTAATAATTTAAATATATATATTTTATATAATTATGTTTAAAATTATAAAAATATATTCTATATATTATATTATATATAGATTTGAATATATAATAAATTAGTATTTTATATTTATATTAATTTATTATATATAAAAGTTGAAAAATAAATAATTTTCAAATTTTCTGGTATTTTAGAAAATTTATAATGGAATCGGATTAAACCCGAATCTGATATGAGTCTATTAGGATTCGAATTCAAATCTGAGTTTTTAAAATCTGATCGGATTTCAGATTAGATTTGAATTCTTAGTAATTGGACCGGATGCGAATTTTATTACACCCGATCCAAGTCCAATCCGATTACAACCCTAGTCTTGCACATTCTAGTCTCTAAGGATGACTTGATGGTTGTTTGTAACAAGGATAATGTTAGTTTTGATAGATGTAGATGCTAGAGGCACCTAATCCGAGAACAAGAAATGTAAAGTGGTTATTTCCATCAATGATTTGAAATCTTTCCAGTCTCTATTACGGCTAGATTATGCTCATTGAATAAAGTCCAGACTAGCAATTATCAAGCTTTGGATCCCGAGGGGGGTCTAGGTATGCCTTTTACCTCTCTTTAATTTATGAATATTTTATTCTAGAATGCAAGGAACTGAGAACAATCCCATGGTTTGTAGATTGAAAAAGTTGAAAAATTCTCATAATGTTGGTGTGGTAGACCTAACTGAGCCCAAAATTCCAGTGTCTCAAATGTACTCTTTTACTAAAGGACTTAACTTTGGAGGATTTGTGGCTAATAATTTTGATAAATTTCGTATTGCTATTCTTTGGCACTAATGATAGCTTATCCTTTTTTTCTATACATGTGAGATGTTCGGTACTGGATAGAAGACTTCTCTGGCACTTACTTTCAAAAGCTTTGAATAATTTTGATATTCCTTGTTTTCTTCGGGGAGATTTTAATGCTATTTTCAGTGAAGAGCAAAAGCTTGGGGGTATCCAACCCAATGCAGGGAGTTTCAGAACTTTGTATTTTCTGTTGGTCTTCATGATTTGAGAACTCCCAACTGAATACTGAAGATGGTCGCATGTTGAGCTAAGGGTGTCAATGGATCGGTTTTGGATTGGACCCCGTCCAGTCCAAAATCAGTTTGGATGGATTGGATGGACCAATAAGATATATTGGATTGAACTAATCCGGTCTAAAATATTTATTGGATTGGATTGTCCGTAACAAATTTATATTGGATTGGGTTGGATTAAGCCAATATCTGGTCCATTGATATAAGATAAGAATATATGTGTCAATAGACCAGGTTTGGGTTGAAATCAATCTAAATCAAGATGAATTTGAACAGATTGGATGGTCCAGACATTGAATTGGACTGGTCCAAAACATTCATTGGATTGGATTGGATTGGACCTAGTCCATTTATAATGGATTCACATTGGACTGGATCGGATTGGACCAAATCTAGTCCAATTGACACCCCTATGTTGAGCTTTGTAATGCCAAGTAGAATTTGCACATTGACTTCTACAGGAGGAAACATATTGGAGGCAAAAATCCAGGGTGCAGTGGCTTTTAGAGGAAAACAAGAACATGAACAGAAGTTTTTCCATGCTACAATTAAAGCAAATAGAAATGTTATTCCACACTGTCAAAATGAGGGTATCAAATTTTTTGATAGAATTCTCTTGGTTGAACTGTGCAGAGTGGACACTAGCTTGCTTGATATTAGGTAGTGATATCTTCTATTGATAATGAGAATGTGGTGACTATCCCCTCAGTTGAGGAAATTAGAAATGCAGTCTTTTCACTTTTTAAAGATAGTGCGTTGGGAACAAACGGGTTCACTGGATATTTCTACACCCACTGTTGAGACATTGCGAGGGAGGATATTGTCGATGCAATCTAGGATTTTTTTTTTCTAGGGGTGATCTTCCTCTTAGTTTCACTTTGGCTTACATCTCTCTTGTGCCAAAAGGTTAGAATCAAGGTTCAACAAATCATTACATATCGGCCCGTATCGGCTGATACATATCGTATCAGGGGGTGGAAGAGCCTTAAACCGCCCCTGAACCGGATTTAAAAAAAAGTTAAAAAAATAAAAAAAATAGTACCGATACTGCCYGATACGTTCCTACCAACGTATCAGGCGTATCAATATTTAGAACCTTGGTTAGAATCTTTGTCATTTTTGGATTACCGGCCTAGTAGTGTATGCAACTTCTCTTATAAAATTATATCAAGGGCTCTTGTTGACAGATTAGCTTGTGTTATGCATAAAATTATTTCTCCACAATAGGCTTTTATCAAAGGCCGAAATATTATGGATAATATAAACCTGGTGCAAGAACTAGTATAGGAAATTGACAAGAAGGTGAGAGGCCATAATGTTGTAATTAAGCTTGACATGCTAAAAGCATATGACAAATTAGATTGGGGCTTTCTCTTTACTGTCCTTAAAACATTTGGTTTCTCTATTGTTTGGATGTCTCTTATTCACAAGGTTGTGTGTAATTGTTGGTTATCTTTGAAAGTGAAGGGATGCATTTATGGCTACTTCAAGTCCTCGAGGAGACTCCGACAAGGTGATCCTCTTTCCCCCTACCTATTTATAATTGTCGAGGAAGTTCTTAGTCATGGGTTATCTACATGTCGATGACACAATTATCTTTAGCAATGCATCTCGTGCTGCAATCCGAAGGTTGACGGAATTCCTAGAGGTGTATGAGGTTGTTTTGACAATGCATTAATAAAAGGAAAAGTTGCTTTTACACATCTATAAAGGTCTCCCCTAGCTACTAGATTGAAAATGCTCTAGGTTACGCTTGGTTTTGGAACACAATCCTTACCTTGCAAGTAGCTAGGTGATCTTATTCACAAAGGGAAATCCCAACAATATATGTCTGATGAATTCATGCGGAAAATCACTTCAAATATTATAAAGGCTCTTCAACTTGACGCAGAAATGTTGAACTCATGAATACCCTCATGGCTAATTCAACTTGGCATATTAGAGAAGGCCCTGTTCCCTATGGCTACGTTTGGTTTGAAGGAAAATGTAGGGAAAGGAAGGAAAAGGTAGGGAAACCTTTACAAACTTTGAATTGGTTTCCCTATCTTTCCCTTCCTTTCCTTACCTTTTCCTTTAAACCAAATGTAACTGTCCCCACGATTTAGGTGAAGGACATTTTGGACGATAGGGGTATCTGGAACTGGAAGAAAATAGGGAGACAACCTCTTGTCTGACATTAAAGAGTTGATAATCTTTCAACAAATATCTTTGAGGGAAGGTCTTGACCTTCAAATGTGGCGACACACCTCTAATGGAGACTTCACTTGCAATTAGATTTAATTAGCATAAGCTAGTCTGGAATAGTCAAATACCTCCAAAATTTGCTTTTCTTATATGGAAAATTTTAAGAGAGGAGACGTCCCAAAACGGATGGAAGCATTCACTAGCTAGGCATTCCAATTGTTTCTACTTGTAATTGTTGTGCTAGGTCATCAGTTGAAACTATAATAGATCATCTTCATCTATGGAACACTAGCCTCGAAGGTGTGGAATGAATCACGTCTTAGTTGATATCACTTGTGATACTTTTATAGATAGTTGTTTTGATCGTAGAGACTCTTCCACGTTTCTATTCAATTATGTCTTTTGATGATCTTCTTTTTCTTCCGAGGCTTAGAATTGGTTGATTTTTATATTTTAATTTGTATTTATGGGGGTGTTCTTTTTTTGGCTTTTGAGAGGGGGAAAGTTGATCAATGGGATTTTGGTTCCCATTGACCAAGAATCTCGTGTTTTTTTTTCAGATTTATGTGGAAACCCAAAAAAGTTTATTTTCCAGGTAAGTGATACCCATCTCCTAGGTGGGTAAATAACTTTCCCACCTAGGGGGAAGTTGTCAACACTTGAATGGGACAAAAATGCCCCTTTTAATAATGGATTTTTATGGCTAAAATGGTCATTACCTTATTTACATGAAAAATTAAAGAACATGGGTAAATGCACTTACCCGGGTATGTGTTTCCCAAGAAAACCTTACCCAGGTAATATAGCTTACCGAAAAGCGAACGGGGCCTATGGGGTCTATAGATTATTTTGAGAGATTGATGTTTTCGAGTTTGTGGCAAGGTGGGCTACGTCCTCCCTTATATAATTTTATTTATAGTGATATTATTTTAATAAAATTTTAAGGTGGCCGCACCTCCACTTAGAGTAAAAACTACTTGGTGCTTTTCCGATCTTCACAAAGGATCTCAAACTTCCTACGCTAAACATACTTGAAGTTGTTATGTTTGTGCCTTAAATTCTTTGTGGTGACCCTCTTCATGAATCCATTCCAAATTAATTTGAGAAAAACCCAAAGGCAAATTTTCAAAGTGGTTTGTGGTAGATGCATAGGGCCCGTAGCCCACCACAAATCACCATTGCGGGTGTGGGGTCTGGACCCCTGCGGCGGTATGGACCCAACCCATATCCATCTTATAGGTCCAAATCGAAACAAAGAGTTATGTATTTCGAGGGTTTTTTCTCTTATACACTGAGTTTGAGTCTTGTGAGGGACAAGTGACACATTGGGTGTATTTTGGGGCTTAGGATTTTTCCGTGAGGGTACAACTCTGCATTTCTTCTCCATTACAAACTTCATAGTGAATTTTTATTCCTCCTTCACCCGTGGACGCAAGCTATAACTTGAACCATGTAAATTTATGTATATTCTTTGTGCTTGTTTCTCTTTATCTCTATTTTAATTTCAGTTTGGGTACCATTCGAATCTGTTTTCTTGATGTTTTCCTCAACAGAAATAAAAGAATCTAACTCATACAACCAATGGCTCCAATGATTCTCCACCAGGTTTGACCCATTGGAGAGAAGGGAACCACTGAATCAGTATTTATGGCCCTACATAAGAGCAGTTTTAGCCCAGAATTTGTATCAATGAACAACTAGGATCGAGCCCTTGAGACCAAGAAAAAGAAGGGCTAAGTTGCTAACCAGTTCACGTGGCAACTACAAAGGAAAAAACAATCGTAAATAACAAATCTTAAAAAAAGGATGTGGATATTATAAGTTGAAACATTCGAACAGTCTAACAGAGCAGGATGGCTAATAGGGCTATAATTGGTTTTATGGTCAGTTGGTAGAGTTGAGTTGAGTCAATAAGGGAAAAATAAATTGGGGAAAAATCGTGATTGATTATGAACATGAAATGAACAAGTCATAAGAAATAGTACATGAAATCCCCGAAACTTCCATGTAACGATGGATCAAATGTAGGAGAATGTCAAATGGATCTATTTCTATCACCCATTTTATATCCAGACGATGCTTTGAATTTCAGAGGCTTCAAAGTTATCATTGAGGGTGATTCGAAGATCGTCATTGATTGCATTAACAAGACTGGATCCGCCATGATAATTATTGAAGAGTGTTTGCAGGTGAATGCTCTTCTGGATCGTAGTTGCTGCTATTAACTATTGCGAAGCAAAACAAGCAGCAGATTGGATGACTCATGCGGCTTCTTTCAACCTGGTTCTTGATGCTTCCAACCTTTCTTGGGCTTTAAGTTACATTTATTTTTGTGATATATGGGGGCGTGTCTGTATTATCAAAAAAAAAAAAATGAATGTGCTTTTTATATGGTAGAAAATGCAAGAAATCTATCTGAACGATGAGAAAGAATGAAAGAATCAGCATAAAAAAAAACCTCTCTGTTAGTTGGTTCATTGTGTTTGCCTTTTCTTCTAGGAGTGTTATTACTAGTATAAAATGGGATGATCCGCTATAAAAATAACAAATGCAGGAGAGATCTGAAATGAGTGCCACTATGCTTTCCATTGCATTTGGAAATTGGGATGCTCAATTTGAAATGTGTACAAATGCAAATATGTAAAGTGCAAAATCTTATATTTTGTATTATTTCTTATGTATTTGTACTGTACATATTTGTATTTATACTTTTTCCAAATTGAGCCTTTGGCTCCATTTGAAAGGAGTACAAATACAAATAAGTAGAGCGTAAAACCTTGTATTTTGTATTATTTTGTATGTATTTGTACTCTATACATTTGTATTTGCACTCCTTCCAAACTGAGCCTTAAGAGCAATTTTGGTCACTCAACATTCTCCATCTTGGTGCTTAAACTACAGGACCGATTCAGGGCAGACATGTTATCAAAATGAATTTTGATGCTTCAAGTAAATCTGATGGGTCATAAGCCATTGGGTGTATTGTTAGAGATGAATGGGGTCACATTCTCAAAGTGTGTAATAGATCTGTTGGCTATTGTTCTGTGGGAAGCTTTTGAAGAATTCTGATTAGCCGAATGCTTTAGCTGTTCAGTGAGTTGTGGAACCAATGATGAGGCTCCACACCAGTAATAAATTCATGGGCCCCACTGTTAAAGATGTAGGCCCAATGGACATGAAACCTTATCATTGGTTCCACACCCTGCTGAACAGCTAAAGCAGAGTTGAAGAAGCTTGTTATTTACTGTCTAAAGGGTCAGGATGTTCTTCTTTGGAGTATAAAATGTATTATTGATGAATGCTATTCAATCTGCAGCAGGTGGAAGTTAGTGTGTTCAATATATCCACATGCACAACAAAGCAAATTTTGGGATGATTTAGAGTTTAACGAGTCTTTGTTGTCTAATAAGGGCTTGTTCTGTTTTCTGGTGGGAAAAGGTGTGATTCATCTTAGAATGCACTATATTACAGAACTCACCAGGCATTTTGTAGGCTAAAGTGTGATGTATTCTGGGATGAGACACAACAAATGATATGTTGTACTGTGTTCTTAATAGAATATGTTAATTTATGACACATATATAACATAAATTGATACCAATCCCATTGATCATGTATCAACACATATTTTCAATGTATATGAGTTACATTTTGCAATTAATCAAAAGAAGTTTTAAATTAATGTATACAAATAAAGCATCATAAAATAATTAAAAATAATAAAAGTAAATGTAAAAAAAATATTAAAAATTTATTAAAAGCAATAAAAATAATTTAAATTAATCCAATATGTATAAAATAATATGAATAAATCTAATACATAAAAGACTGTTTAATTATTAATATATATAAAAATTATAATCTCAATACATTTAATAAAAAATAAATCAAATAACAAAAGCTTACAAAGGTCAATAATAAGTGGCACAATTAATAGGGAGTGAGAGGTAGGGTATTAAAAATGACATAAAGGAGTGGCACATTTTAGAACATGAGACATTGGTGTGGCTGGGCTGGCACAATATTTTGTGTTCTAGAACCAGCTAGCTCGTTCTGGAATGAGACATATCCCCATGGTTTTCAAAACTGGACCAGACTCAACGGTCGGACCAGAAAAACCAGGAATCGGTCAGATGACCTTTTTCTTTTTTGTCACAACGGGCCAACCCACCACATCTTCTGCTGCAGTGGATGCACCATAGAATTTGCTGAATTTTTTACTTGCGTTTATTCTTGTTCCACTAAATAGGATCATGCTTCAATTTCAAGGAACATGAAAACAAGCAGCAATTAGAGCTGTCAACAAAAGTAATCCAAAAACTGATCCAACTAGCCAGATTTGGATCTCAAAATATATCCCGTGTCTTGGTTGATATCAACAATGGATCCTCTTTGAGACTGTTTACATATAATTAGCATATGTTTACTAGTAGAGTTGAGCTTGATATCAACAATTTTTAAGGTTCAAGGGTTTTGAAAGTCAATTTTGTTGATATTGACAACAGCTTAAAATATTCCAATTTGAACCGAGTTTCCAATCTGAATCCAGTTGGTCCAACCGTTGACATCACTACATCAACATAATTGCAATTTCAGATCTAGGGATGGTCCCCCGTTGCCAAAATGTCCTCTCTGTTACCAGTTACATTAATCGTCATAAAAATATGTAAGATATACATATTTGTAGTTAAGATCAAATATCTTTAATTGAACATAATTGAACATGGTAGGCAACAGTTCTCAATATAAACTTATAATGAAGACATAACCTTGGTTTAAATAAACTATCAACAAGAAAAGAAGGCAGACTTACAACAGTGATACAATACATTGAAGAATACAGGGATCTTATCATTCACTTGAAGGGTGTTCTCCCACAGAACTCGACATCGGTAACTCAAATTAGTGTTATTCCATCAGAAGAAGACTAATAAAGAATGGTGGCTTGGTAATGCCTGACTTGTGTGGAAAAGTTTCTTGCGCAACCCAAGTATAGGAATGTGCTCGAAGTTTGATGGAGCATATTCAACTGGCTCAACATGTACCTTTTCATTTGAAATATCAGAAACAGATGTCCTATTGATGAATGTGGCCTGTAAAAAAGCCCAGAGGATATTCGCCCCTCCACTTTTGTTACACATCACCTGCAATATTGGAGAACTCAATTAGCACAAGTTGTTCCAAGACACTGTGGAGCCATGCAAATTGAGAATTGGAATCAAAGATGTCAAAGCCAATTTAAGATCTGATAATGAGTAAGAAGCTTCAAACTATTAAAAGAGGTCACCTAAGTATTAAAAGAAATATCCTTCATACAAATCCCAGCATCAAAGGTCAATACATTCATGGTTGTGGATGCAACAGTGAATCCATAACTTGGCCAAAGCATTTCCATTATTATTTTTTTTTTATTGGAAATGGTAACTTTCATTAAGGATATCAAATAAACATCTTACACTGTCAACCATTCAGACAAAGAGTGTTGACCCCAAACAACATCAAGAATTACAGTACAGCCCAAATAAAAAGTTTTCCCTGAATGTCCCCTGCTTTGCCAAACTATCTGCCACAAAGTTTTCCCAGAAGCATTTCCATTATCATTTTCAGATTAAGTGCTTTTCAAGAGATTGAGGGTGAGCGGTGGGCCTTGGCACAACAGTTGGGTTGCTCCATTGTGACCTGGGTGACCAGGGTTTGAATCTTGGAAATAGCCTCTGTGTATGTGCTAGGAATAAGGCTGTGTACATCTGTCCCTCCCCAGACCCCGCATTGGCAGGGGAAACTTGTGTACTGGTCTGCTTTTCAAGAGATCGAACAATGCATTTAAGAAGCAAACAAAAACATGTCTCCTAAAGCTGCCTGTCTTTTGTTTCATCAGAAGCAAAGACAATAACTAATCTTCTCTTCAATCCAAATTGTATATATGGAACTCAATTATGAAATTAAATGATGAAACATGATTTTCATGCAGAAAATTTCTTTCCACCCTTATTGAACTGGAATACAAACAACATGGATAATTAATACCAAAGAAAGGATACATACCTGTATCTTAGTTTCACCTTGATAAAGGCTTCTGCAGAAGAGCAGTCAAATAGACCTCTCCATTCTTCAGTCCACTGGCATCTGTTTTATTCCCTATTGCCCACTTCACTTTTTTGTAACCCAACTTCCCAATCAATGGAGCATAAACCTTCTCAAGATCAATTCCTTTGCTGAAGAAATGATCCAACCAAATGTACCCTCCACCTCTCAGAACCCTGTCCACATCATAGAATAAGAATTCCATTGATGTGATTGGGATCCAACGATTAACAGCATGCCCACATCGGACAAGATCAACAACCCCATCAAATATTGGAAATCTCTGTTGCAATGGAACATGCAATGGAATGAGCCCTCTCAATGCAGTCACTTCACTATATGGGGCACCCAGGTTCATGGTTGTGGACAGAACAGTGATATTATGGAGCTTCATTCTTGCCGCAAAAGTCCCAGTTCCAGCTCCAACATCAAGTGCGAGGCGGAGGACCGATGAAGAACTCTTGGCAATCTGGACTAATTGGGGAATGGTAAGATCAAGATCGGATTTGGTTGTCAAGAATTTGGTGGATTCAAGTTTCATATCAAAACCGAGATCGTCGTTGAAGCGGTTGAGACAAGCAAAGCTCTTGCAAGAGTAGTGGGACCAGAGCAAAGCATAGTCAGGGAGGGCAGGAGGGAAGGGGTTGGAGGTAAGAGAGGAAGGGATTTTTGCAGAGGTGCGAGAGAAGCAGCGGCGACGAGGAAGGGGATGACAACCTCGGAGGATTAGAGCCTCAGAGAGATCAGTGTCATCTGGGCAGAGGGAGAACGGGGTGTAGTTCATGTAACGATGGAGAAGATCAGGGTTGTCACGGCAGGCAGAGGCAATGGGAGAGATGTGTGCATAGAGGAGGAGATCCGAGGGGACTGGGGCTTTTGTAGTGCTGGCGGCAGTGGAAGTGGCGCTAGTGGAGCGCAGGCGGGTGAGGTGGTTAATGGTGGCTCTGATTGTGTTGAGTTGGTGAAGTAGGTGATCTGGGACTGGGGGAGGAGCTGCAGGTTTGCTCTGGAGGGATGAAGAGAGGTGGTATAGAGAGAGGATATTCGTCGCCACCATGGCCAGAAGGAGAAGCATGTTCAGTCCCATCCCTAAGCCCATTTCTGTTTCCTCCCTTTTCTTTATGTTGCTCTCTTTCTTTCCTATGCCTGGGAACCTAATGAATGTAGAAAACTGAATTCTATCAGAAAGAGGAACTACAGTTCTAAAGCAATTTTCCTTCAACAAATTCAGCAATCAGCATGCAAGTAGAGATCTAAACCTATCGGTCAATATTAAAGAAAAGAGAAAGGAAGGATGAGAATCACCGACTCGAATGTGTTAATACTATGCCACAAAGATCTCACATTATATCATTTCAATAGGAAACAAAGCCCAGAGAAAGATTTTAGCTCGCAGATCTCAAGCTCCAATGAAAATTGAAGATCATGTAGGATAGCAAAAGACCCATTTCCGGAAAGGGAAAAAGCGAAAGAATAAAAGAGAGAAAACCATGAAGCTAAAAGTTTAAAGAAGCAGACTTGGAGCGTTCACATTCAAGAAACCAAAAGAACACTTACCGTGACTTTTCCTCACGAACAGGGATCGATTAATGCAGAGAAAGAAAGCCTTTAAGGCTGCCCATGAGCTTATCTCCCCTGAGAGAGATGTAATGTGAAGAAGCCTCGACACTGGACCGTGAGAGAGAGAGAGAGGGTTTACGCTTTACAGACAGGGAAGCGAGTGGAAAGAGAGAGAAGTTCGGTCTGGGGAGATTTGGGAGTTGGGAGGTGATACGTAATAGTGAGAGTCTAATGAATAGATTCTATATATTGAAAGTAACACGTTGGATTGGAATCTTTTTAATTAGAATCGTGGCTCTGGGGCTTTGATCTGTCGTATCAATATCTCTGATAAAATATTCCAAACCGTTGGATTGGATCAAATTATTGGTTGACAAGTGGCAAAACCAGGTTTCAGAGACGAGGAATTCGTAATCAAACCATTTTCTTTGCGGAATTCTAGTAAGCAACGAGAGTATGCAACTCCCCACTAACCCCCACGGGCCCCACTCTAAGATTGTGAATCAAGATTTGCACAGCTTCTTTTATAGCTGATTAGGGTAAAATAACTTTTAGAACAGGATAATTTCTTTTAAAAAATATAAAAAGGTAAAAATACTATTCATCTTCTTCTTTCTCTTTTCTCCTCTTTCACCTTTCGATGCCATGAAAAAATTTCATCATCGAGCAAAAGAATTTCATCATCTAGCCCCGATGGGACAAGAGATTTTCTCCCCTCCCTTTTTTGTAGTCTATTCTTCTTGTCTGCTATGTCCGTCCCTTTGGTTCTCTTTATTTTTGATTGGTAGCTATAGCTCTCTATCGCTTGTATAAAGAAGAGAGATATTAGAAAGAGAGAATGGCAGATTGGGGTCCGATGGTTGTAGCAGTGGTGTTGTTCATGCTGTTGACGTCAAGGCTGTGAAGGAACAGAATAGTAGAGTTCGGGAACATGCAAACAAGTGGTGTGTCCATTCCTGTGCATGCCATCATCTATTTTGGTCTCATCACCATTTTCCTTATCGCCATCGGTGTTCACATCTACATCGATTAACCACCATTCTTTTCATGAACTATTTCTCATGGAGCGCAATCTGGTCGGTCCTATCTATCAATGATTTTGTCTCTGACTGGAGCAAAAGGTACCTGAAACGGGAAAGAAAACGTGTAGTCTCCGGGGAGGAACCCGGTGAGAGTGCTCCGAAACTCAAGTTAGTATTTTCTCAAAGGCAAGATAAAAAACCAGATGACGCAAAGTTATCACATACCTCCATTCTTGGGGAGAAGAGGGCTTTTTATAACCACTTCGCGCACTCACTCCCAATCTCCTGTCAATTCGGGTATCATTACCTCTGCACTTCTGCCAGTTCGGGTATCATTACCTCTGCACTTCTGCCAGTTCGGGTGTCATCACCTCTGTTGGGGCAAACAACCGCCACTGCTCTCTGTCGGAGCCGTCTCTGTAACTGGAGGTGGCGGTGGCAGGTAGCCGTTGAAGTGCGATTGTCAAGCGTCAGATCCTAAGTCAGTCAGGTGCGCCGCCTCAGGATACAGACTCCTTTGGTGTCAAGTACGGTTGTTCAGTTTGGCGGGCTGGAGACGAAGTGCCAGAGTGGTGTGCGAGGTGAAGTCTTGAGTTCGGATAGAAGTGTGGCCCAAACTGCCGTGGGGTGGGCCAGTTCGGGTTGTTGCCCTTTGCTCCTCGTAAGGCTCGGGATCGAAGGGAGAGTTTGGACTCCTTTTGGGGAGCTCGGACCGCGGGTTCCTCTTCTCGAAGCTCGTGCCTTGAGCGCATTGCCGTGCTGAGCTGTCGCTGTTGCCAGGTCACCCTCAGTTGCTTCCACGTGTTGGGTGGCCAAGAGGTCGGGCCAAATCTTCCTCCATCAATTGCCCCCCACTCCTCACGCTAAGGGTCTTGCCCTAGCGCGGGGAGTTCGCGAGGTGACGGGCGGATTTGACCCGTACTTCAAACCGGCTGACTGATGGCGTGAAGTGTGCATACGTCAGGAGATTTCCGAATTCCTCGAGCGCCAAAAAGTCAGAAAACGTGCCAATCCATCTTTAAATGCTGGGAGACGTGACGGGGGGCGTTATTTCAAATTCAAAAAATGCGCCACTGTTAACTTCAATGCTGGGAGACGTGTGCCAACGCCGCTTCAGTTTCCAAAGACGTGCGGCCAGTCACGTCTCGGTCTTAGGAGGCGTGCGGTCAGCTTGACCGTGAGCCGTTGGATTTGCCTCGATCAGAATCGTCGGTTTTAGGTCACTGTGGGTATAAATAGTGGGGGACCCCCAGTCGCTTTCCATCGCCATTCTCCTACGTTCGCTTCTTGGGCTCGCGTCAACCTTTCATAGTCCGTTAGCTTTTTCCGGGTGAGTCAGTACTTTCTTCCTAGTTTTTCTTTCCTCTCGATGTCTAGCTCGGACAGCTTAGACAACTTCTTGAGGGGGTCAAATGCAGGTTCCACGAACCGAGCTGCATCCCCCGATAGCCTTAGTGAGCCCGAGGTAGAGCTCGAGGAAGAGTTCGAACCTATAGGCCGAGTCGCCTCGGGTAGTTTGGCATCGTCCTCCCATCGAGGTCGGACGTTAGACAAGTTTGGGTCCTCAACCATGACGCCTGAGGGGCTTTACTCCCTTATCACCCAGTTCAACCTGCCCGGGGAGTATACTTACTTTATACCCTCGGGCGACTTCCCTTGGGAACATGGTCCTGACGAGATTGTGATATTCCGGGAGCAACTCATCGTCGGGCTGCGCCTACCTTTCCACCCTCTTATCGTCGAGGTTA